ACTACCATACAGAAAAATGTAGTGGCTTAAAAGAAGAGAGTGGGATTTTCTTGTGTGGGGCTTTTTTTTTACTATTGTCAGATGTCCGGAGTTCTGCAGCTGAAAGGTTTTATTGATAACCTGTCTCTTGTAATTCAGCAGACTCCAAAATCTCTAGGGAAAAGGAATTACTRTTTTGTGTTGCATGGATTTTTATGAAACTTGAAATTTGTTTCACTTCTATTGGAAGAATAAAAGAAGTAACACCTTAATATCTCTTCGGTTTGTTAGTGCAAGTGAGATATAATGAACAGGCTTTAAGRTTTTTAAGGCTTTTTAAGGCTTAAGTACTGATTTCATCTTAGTAGGCAGGTAACTGCTACAGACTTAAGAAAAGTTATGTTATAACTTCATCCTGCTGAAGAATTTTGAGGGATTAAAATGAGCATATGAAATCTTGCAGCTCTAAACTAATCTGCTGGTAATGTCTACTTGCTAACTTGTCTGGAAAGCAACGCCAAACCTCTGCTTCCTGGGTGTGCAGGAAGCAGGGAACAGGTTTTTGCCAGAGTCTTGCTGCAATTTAGGCAGGAGAAAAAGGRAAGGAGTCAAGGATAAATTGTGGGGTTCTGAATCCAGAACAGGGAGCTTGCAGGRTTGATGCTAGTGGTGAGATTTTTTAGGTCCCTTGGCTGTGATTTGTGTTGTGTTCCTGGCCAACCTTCTATTAGTGGAAAATGATACTTTTTCTCCTCCACCTCAATACTTTCATCATCTTCTATGATGCCCGTCTCTCTTTTTATATACCTTTTAAACTAGGAATTAAGTGGAAAATGGTAAAGAAGGCAGGAATCTTCCTAATCAGGAAGATTCCTCATTGGAGAGAATTCTCTGTTGCTTGTCTTCCAAAGCCTTAAATCTGTTTTCCTGTTGCATGTGGTTTTTATACCTGAGAATTGATGCTGTCATAATCTGCATTGCTGGTAAGTTGCACATGATGAATAYAAACAATTAATGTGTCCCCAAGAGACAGGCTTTCACAGGGAATTTATTACACTACAAGCAACTTAGTTTCAGCGAAAGCCAGCCATGTATGTGAAAGAAGAGACAGGCTGCTGTGCTTGTGTTTGGTCAAGAAGAATTAGATGGAGAAAGGAAGAAACATCTGGTTTAAGTTGCTGTGTATGTTGCATTGTAAACGGTATACACAAAAAGAAATTAGTGACTTGCTAGGTTAATAGAATTTACTTGTGTAAAATATGAAAACTACTGAGAACTGAAATTTAGCTGTCGCTCCAACATTTCTTAATCTGTTTTTATATTTCCGTGATTTTGCAGCTGTGCAATGGTGGATCTGTGACTGATCTAGTGAAAGGATTTTTGAAGAGAGGTGAAAGGATGAATGAACTTATAATTGCTTACATTTTACATGAAGCTCTGATGGTAAGATAAATCCTCTGTGAGAGGATAGCCGATATTCAGATAATATTTTTTTCTTTGAGTGAAGATCAGTTACACTATAAAAAGTGTTTTATATCATAGTAATGTTTAATGAAACCAAGATAATGTGCAACTCATGCAATTCTTTTTGAATGAGCAAGGTAAGAACAGTTCATCCATTTGTTTTGTGATTAAGACAGTGAAAATTGATTTCTGTCATTGATTTATTTCCTCAGTAAATGCTGTTCCATTTCAGAGCAAGTTTTCATTTTGAGCCATATCAGAAATATATTAAAAATACTGTTCTATTTCTTATGTGAGGAGCCAAGTTTTTATAACAAAATGATAATCAGATCTAGTGAATTCAAACTATCATAAAAAAAGTTGTCTTAGCTAATCAAGATCAAGTTTCTTTTTTTATATATTTTTTCATTGTCTTTTAATTGGGATTTGGCTTTCTGTGATGGAATTATATAGCAGATTTATAGTGCTTTTCTGCTGCTGCTTTCATAAAACTTGTAGGTTACAGAAAGTGGAGTAATTAAAAAAAATAGCTGTTCCACATAGTGGACCAGGTGTTTTTTCTAATAAGAGTAAAATCTGTGCAGTTTTGGATAAAAGGAAAAAAAAAATCTGTGTTAAGATTTCTGATACTTTTGTGCGACCTCTTTTCTGCAAAGGCAATATGAAGAACAGAGCTGTTTCTAATAAATCAATGTCTATATCTTACTTTCCAGGGCCTTCAGCATTTGCATGAAAACAAAACTATCCACCGTGATATTAAGGGAAATAATATCCTCTTGACCACTGAAGGAGGAGTCAAGCTTGTGGATTTTGGTATGTTATGTTTGTTTATTTTTTCAATCGGTATTGGATCTCTGAGGCATGGAAAATAAAATTAAATGAAGAAAAAAGTTAGAAAAGAGGAGCTATATTACTTCTTTATTTAAATGCTGAATACTTAAAAATAACTTGGATAACAGAAGTTTTTTTTTAAGTTGATAGAAATAATTATTTACAGGCTCAGAGTTTTTACAACTTCCTTTTTTTCCCAACCATTTTTCTAATTATATTTAGATATCATGGGTAGAGTAAAAGTTTTAATAACCACCAAATGCTTTAAGACAGACACAGTGAGTGGGGTGGCAAACTGGTACTATGGTTCAGAATAAGGTTGGTGCCAAGACCCTGAAGGACCATGTGCTTTTTCAGTGAAATTAGRATCTGGCAGACAAAGGCTCCACGTGGCCTGTTAGAGGAACTAGAACTTTGTAGACATTGTGAAGAATGGGAGAGCTCCATCTCAGTTGTAAACAGTTCATTAGAGATGCTACCTCAAGGCAGCAAAGGGGGAGCTATTATGTAGGGAATACCCAATTTCCAAATTCTGGGCTTTAGGTACAACTTATAAGTTGTTACTCTATGGAACAGCAACCATTGGTAAATATGATGATTACATTCAACATAAGAACAATCTTCATTTCCTTTTATCCTCCTGTTTTGCAGTGATTTATTCAATTGATACGTAATAATTATTTAAGCGATCGTGGGATTTTAACTCACATGGGAATAGTGTCTTCCTGTCAGTCAATAGTGTTTGTGCAGCTCTTATTACTCCATTAAAAAACAAACAAACAAAAAAACCCCACAGCTGTTAGATTTACTAATCCTTCTGAAGATTTATGCATTTATGTTCATTTTTTATGCTTAGATAAAACTCTGGTTGCAAAGCCATCACACTTCCTAAATGATTTGCCATATGTTTGCTAGTCATCTCTGTTAGTCTGGAAGTTTAGTATAAGGCAAAATCAATATTTTTGCCCACAGGTTTTTCATGTGTTATGGAAACTAATTTCTTAAGGTGCTGAAGGCAATTAGAACTGCAGAGGATCAATGCTTCTGAAAATTAATTCACTTATGCAGATGTCAAAACATACCAGCTGCAGGGATGAGGACCTTAATTCTTTATTCCCCAGTTACTGCAATCTGATGTGAAGGCTATAATTGAAAAATAATCTTCAAATCTTGAGAGCAGAATTGTGGTGGCAAAGCATAGAACACACACAAGAAACAAGCTTGCATACACGTTTTTATGGGCAGAAAAAGGAGCTGTAACATCAGCAATCCTTCTTCTCTAAGGAATGCGGGAAGTGCACCCGTCTTAAGGGAGGGATTTTCTCATGCATTTATTTTTCAATACCAATTTGAAACCAACAATGATTAGTTTTAAATAACTAAATACAGATTATACAGTTTTCATGAAGTCAACATGGAGGATATATCATTCATGTTTCAGGCTGACGTTTAAGGTATTCAGGCRGGAGCTGGGAGATTTCTCTCTTCTACTTAAGAGGATTTGAACCCACCTAATTAGATTCCAAGAGTGCTCTTAAGCCAGGAGTGTGAGTGGATCAAAATCACTCCAGTTGACGCTGTTACCGACAGCTGTGCAAAATCATTTGTAGGATCAGGGACAAATCCATACCCACATTTCTACTTAATAAACTGGTGAATTAATGACCTACAGAAGGAGACAGACACACTCACCATCTCTTTCTCAATAAATCATCAGTGGAAATGACTTTTTGTTTTGGACTGAACAAACTAAAACAGGCTCTTGGGGACTCATGCAGTTCTGCTCAGCGTGCCTGCAGCATTTCCATCRTAGTGTAGAGGGAAGCAGGGATCGTGGATCAAGTACTGCTGCCCCTCCAGCATTAACCAGGCAGAAGACACGAGCCCTTTCTGAAGATGATATTGGCTGAGCTATCCTCTTAAATGCTGGTTTATGATGGTTATATTCCAAAGAAACCCTTGCTCTCCTCCTCCAGTACTCTCTATATTGGTTTTCATTTAAGCGGGTGTATAAAATCTGTGTTTGGGAGATGGACCTGTGAAGTACTTTCTGGAGTAAAGTACTAGAAAAGGTCATGTCCACAGCCTATATGTGTGGTGTGGTCATATAACTTGCATGTCTGTTTTTTTTTTTTTTTTAAGTGCTAGAAGTTTCTAGGAGTTGCAAATTAAAAACCTCTAGAGTGAGTTGAATATTCTTTGAGAATATTCTCTCTCCTTTTGCACACTCTAAATCTGGCCTGCATAGTAGTGCATCACCATTCAGAGTCYTTTCTTGTGCAGCAATCCTGGCTTTTCTGAACCTTCATTTTGTGACACGACTGGTACAAATTGTCTATGGCTGTTGCATTGTAAGCATTTATATCTATTCTGTGACGGTGGTTTCTGAACGCTGTACAAACTGCAATAGATGACCTTCACAACACTGTTATGAGGAAGAAATTACTGTAATTCCCCATTAATAGTTGGGGATCTGGAGCTTTGAGAGATTGAATTGCTTGAGGTAATATGGAAAGCCTGTGGAAGAACTCTCCTAAAATCCAGGGCTAACAGTCTTAACTATTTATTTGCCTTTCGAGTAGGTATGGAAAGTTACTGAGATGAGAAAGTCTTTCAAAGAGTACCACAGTAGTGTCTCAGCCAGGTACCTGTAAAGAGTGAAATTCTTGCTCTTTCTTAAAATTTTGCTACAATTTTATTTAATCTGTATAGATTTTACACCAGTAAAACATTTGATTAAATCAAGTAAATGAATTTATATTCTCTCCTACACCAATGTTTCTGAAACTAAATGACTTACTGAAGAGCTGCAGGTTAGAGTTATTTTAAACTGTCCATACCACAAAAACTGTGGAATACAACTCCTAAAAAAGCTCACTGTCCTTCATGTCCATCCAGTATGACATGAGTTTAGATCAGGAGAGGTAAACAAAATAATTCTGACTACAAAAGAGAAGTTACCAACAGAATCTTCTCTAAGCAGATCCCATGATCCCTTCTTCAGCACCCAATTCATGCCCTCTGTACCTAGAAGATTAATGTATCTGCAAAGTCCATGCTTTCCTATGTTAGAGAAGGATGACTAAAAGCAGTTGAACTCCCTGGAACATATGTGGGAATTAGTTCTTTAGCTGTCCTGATGGAAAATCTGTGGGGAAGACGCACGTCTGAGAATTGCAACAATTATTCTCCAAGTTTCCCTTTGCTGCAGAAATAGAAATAATAAATAATTGTTCTGTTTTCAAGTGCAATTGATATGTTGCCCTGTAGGATAGGGGCCTGAAAAAAGATGTACATTTACATTAAAATAAATATCCTAGGGCACTTCAAAGAATGAAAGCTGAATAGTGTACTGTATAGAAAGAGCTGGAGACAAGCAGAGTATGAATGAAATTTTCTTTATAAATGTTTTTAATTAGATTCACAGCTGCTCACTAGCTTTCTGGAGAGGAAATGTTTTTGTTCTCTTTTTTGAAGACTTTTTCTATATCGGTTCCTCAGATTTTTTCAGGAGGATTCTAATATTAGAGTCAGATTTCAAAGGATATTTTCATCACTAAATCTAGTAAAATTTTCAAAACTCCTAGCATGTAAATCTACATTACAGGAATTACATCAATTACATGATTACATGAATTAGATGTTGGATACCTTTTGAAAACCTCATGAAAAGCTATTGGCAGTTCTTATTGTCAAAATACCTTTCAGTGCCTGACCTTGTTTTGTCAGGCCAATAGTGCCCTGATGTCCCTTGCACACAGACCTCTCCTCCTCTGTAATAAAATTGTCATCTACATCTTACAATGGGCAACCAATTTCACAGGAACCTGAGTGCATACTGTCTTCTTAGGCTGAAAAATACTTGTTTACTTGAGGAAGTCACATTCAATTTATTTTCTTGAAACTAGAGATGGGGCCATCTTTGTATTAAATATMCTCTGAGGCAGAATTCCCTTTCCTTTGAAAATTCTAATGTGTCAAAGGGCTGTGCGACAATGGGATAAAATAAACTTAGCTGTGTTATTGTTGTTGTTACTATTTTAGCTTTTTTCTTAAAGCCTAAGTGACATTTCATTTTGAAAAATCTGACATGTTTCTGAACCCCCCTGCCTTCCCTGGGAGCTTGGAAGCTAGAGCTCTTCATAGTTACATATTGTTGAAAGAAGAGGATRGAAAGTGTTCTTTTGGGCTAAAAAAAATGAGGAGTGTAATGCTTGATGGAAAATTCCCCTTCTCCTGTGTTTTTGAGGGTTGACCTTATAGGCTGATAGTCTTGAAAAGAGCATGGATAGCTTATGCTTCTCTGGGACTGCTGAAACTTAGACTGAGAGGCCTTGGAGATGGCCCTGAAAATGTGAGTATAAACTGCACTGCACCAGTTAAGCAAATGCATTGTTTCGCAGCAGTTCTGTTCCTTGCTTTTCGTGATGACATCCTACTTCCTTACCAAGTGGAGTTAAGCTCTTGGACTTGCTATGCTCAAGAAAAGTTGTTAGATGTTTATGTGGATATTAGGAACATCTAAGCCCCCCAAAATAAAAATARATTGTAATTTGTCCTTTGTAATATAAACCTATTTCTAATTAAGAGAGATTTCATGATTCCCCCAAGCCAACTAATACTGTCACTGTGAGAAAGAGAACATGCAGAAGGATTGTCCAACTCCATTTTTTGTTTCTTCTCAGGCGTTTCGCTGTGTATCTCACTTCAGTTTGTAAAACTCTCTAGATAAGCCCAACTATACAAAGACAAATTCTAAAGCTTTTCAGTGGTAAGCCAGGTTCCAGGGAAAGACCTGGAAAAGAGGGAGTGCAATCTCACTGCTGCCAGCAGATGGTGGGAAATTACAAACACTGGTCTGAACGCAGCTAATAGAATACTCACTTCCAGAGTTCCTTTAGGACTGTAGATAATAAGATTTCAATATGCATAATTACCTGAAACTTGTATTGCAACATTAATGTGGCATGTCTAGTGAGGGT